AGACTATATATTTAATAATTTAGTCAAAAGAGACAAACAAGAAAGAATGCCGGGCTTCAAACTTCAGAAAGGTGACAAAGTAAAAAATAAATACCTAAACGCGACCCATATGAAATACTATTGACTATGACAACAATGGGAACTCGACAGGTACTCACATTCGTGTTCGTAAAAATAGAAGAAATATACAAGAGAATATTATGAAGTTTTAGGCAAACATGGCAAAATGTACACACTGCAAGCAGAAGATAAAACTACTATTGTCAGACCTCGTTTCAACTTGTCAAAGTTCAAGGTGGTATACTTTCAAAGACAGTTCCTAACAAATATAAGACAACTCCTGACGAATATGCTAAAGAAGTTGAAAATGACGACTAAGCAATTCTATACCATGCGTAAACTGTCATGTAAGGTGGCATGTAGTCTTTACTTTGTCCCGTTGTTTGCGTATATCCTGAAACGAAATGTGTATGGTTTCCTTCTCCTGAGTGTCACTCCAGTAACAATTTATAGCAAACTTAACTCGTCTTTAACATCATATCCTTTACCTTTTGTCATTCCTGACCAATCCAATATCTATGCTTATGCCAACCTGCTTGAGATGTACTTAAATCTATGTAGTGACTGTGTGCAGGTAAATTTTCACCTGAAATCGTTTTACTTCCACCTGTTTCCTTTGAAGAGTTTGCACAATACAAAAACCTGTCGACTATTTGAGTCCAAGTTCCAAAACCAAGTACTTTCTGGTCTGGTAGAGTTCATTGACGTATAAATAGAGCTATAGGATATAATGTTTGAAGTATTTCTGTCTTTAATGTTTGAAGCTCTGTTTTGTCTGCTTTCTTATCTAACATTGCTGGTAGTTCATATGCTTCAAAGTTTCTGGCATGACTTTCAATGTTCCTGCAACTGTTATCTAAATTGTTTAGTGTATCTTTACGCTTGTACTTGGATTCTCTAAAGGTGCACTTGAACCAAGGTCAAAGTTCAATATTATGTCGTCTGCTGTAAAAGTTGTAAAACTTGTATGTGTATGAGTCTTATTTGCTTTCTTCTCTAACTCATCGTTAACATAAGTTTTATCTGCTTTAAGTCTAAACATCCTGAAACCCATCCTGTATCGGCTTTAGTTTTAAAATCTTCGATGTCCATTCATGTACCAGTCAACCCTTTCTTCATTTCGTTATCTTTTTCATCCACATATTCCTTTCTGCTTTCTTCTCTAACTTACTAGCCACATATTCCTTATCCGCTTTCTTTTCAAGGCTAACGTTTAAGTCTGTTATTCAGATATAGAATGTATATGAGTTTTTAGAATATTCGTTTTCAGCTCTTGTCACTTCACTTGACATTTTATTGTCAACATATGTTTTGTCTGCTAGTTCAGGATGAGTATGTTCTTTTGTTGCATAAGCATTGTTAGCTCTTTCTTCTTCTTTTGCTATTGCATCGTCTACATATTCTTTGTCAGCTTTGTTGTCAACATCTGCTTTCAAAAGAAGTTCATTTATAGGTTTCTCGTTTAAAGTTCCTTTTGTTGGATTTATACAGACAGTATGGTTCTTATTGTCTTGAAACAGAAACTCATCTGTCATTGGGTTTAATGTCAGTTTTAAGTTTCCTTCTTTCAATGACTCAGATATCTTAGAATAGTTTGAAAAGTTTGTTGTGTTCTTATTTAGAGCTTGCATAATGAGTTGTCGGTTGTGTTGTATTTCTCTCATAGACGCTGTTTCATTTGACATTTTTATTCTAGATAAAATATGCTTCCAATAGAAAAAGAAAATTCTAGAGTTGCTACAACTAAACCATTAGATGAACTTTTTACTAATGTCGGTAAAAAGTTTGAGACAGATACCGTAAAGCATGAAGGCTATCGTTTTGACTACCCATTAAGATGGTTAAGAGACCCATCCGTCACAAAAGCTATTGGCTTTCGTAGAATGAAGTTCATTTCAGAAGCCATACATGGTTTCCCATTTACGGTCGGTTTTGAAGTTCGATACTATAACAAAGAAAAACGTATGTATGAGAAATTTGAACAGGGAAAACTTTTACAAGTTAGTTTGCTTGTAAACTTAGAAACAACTCTTCAAGCTTTTCAAGAAAAAATAAACGATATCTATATCGAATATGCAAACCAGTATAACATTGACGAGGGAGAGTACCATCTCGATATTATTTATGACAGGAAAAATGCAACTGTTAAAATCAATAGAATAGAAGACCTTGGAGAAAACGTTTATATTTCTACAAAATATAACAACTTGGCATGGTATAGATTTATGAGGATGTTAAATCAGCCTGCAGCATATCCAGTACCCCCGGACTTTTATGAAGTCGAAAACCCTAATGGAACATATGAAAATATTTTCGACCAAGATGCTATTATTGTTCATGCTTCATTTTCTGGTGCACAAAACTCTTTCTTATGCTTGGCAAATGACTTTTACGAAAAACCTACAAAGCTATATGAACCGCCGAGTGGAAGTATTTCAGACTTTCAAGTATGGTTTACAACAGATGGAAGAAAGAGAATAATTCCATTATACCATGCGTTTTACTTAGAACTTAGTTTCATATACAACTACTATCGAACGGTAAAAATATAATTTTTTAATACGGTTGAGGTGTTGGATTTGGTTGCCAACTAGACTGTGGTGCAGGTTCAGGCTGTTGTATAACAGGAGCTTGTTCTTCTGGTTCAGGGTCTTTAGGTATAATACCAACGAACTGACCTACTCTTTTACCAATATTTTTGACTCCGTTCCAAATTCCTCTTCCGACAGATTTTATTCCATTCCATATACCTCTTCCAACATTTCGAAAGAAGTTTCCTATTCTTCCAAAGAAACCCATTTTACTAGTAGTAAAAATCTAATGTCCACCTAGTCTTTTGCGTTTCCTGTTGAGTTCCATAGCATTCTTTAACTGGAGCTCATACATTATGTTTCTCCTCTGGTAGAAAACATATTCTGGGTCAACTCCTGTGTTCGCGTCATCTGCATAAAGTTGTTTATATCCCACTTCAGGGTTTGTATAAAACTCTTTCCATCTCATATTTGCATACCATGGTGGCAAACCTAACGCAGCTTCATTTGACATGGCAGTTTGCATTTGTACATCTGTTGGCACTTGACCATAGTTTGCCATTGCAGTTTGTATTCTAACTTCATTTGGAATATTCTCTGGGTTTGGTTGTCCAGGTTGCTGTGCATTCGCTAAGTTCTGTGCGTCCATTTAATATTAGATAAAAATATCTCTTACGAGTACATATACTGAACATTTGCAGGCATTGGTTCATCTTCATATTCTCTGTACTTTTCTGCCACGTCAAATAAATAAATGACACAATGGAAAAAACCTAAAACAAGTAGTCCTATTTCAAACCACATTTACTTACTAATAAAATTTCTTTATTGTGACACTTTCTCCGGTTTATAGGACCTCTCTCATATTCTATCTTGTCATATCTAAACTCATAGTCATGTATGTCCTCTAACCATCTCATAACGGTTTCCAAACCACTTTTATCGGATGTAAAGTAAAAGCATGGATGGTTATGTATAACGTCTAAAGTTTCTAAAGAGTCTCTCAAAGTCCAGTCTACTTGGTATTGAAAATCCCATGTGTTATAGAACGGCGGGTCCACTATAAAGAAAACATTTTCCTTGTCTTTATATTTTTCATACAACTCTGTCCAATGACATCTCACAAACTCTATACCCTCAATATATTTTTCTATGTTCTCTTTGAAAACATTTGTATAGTTAAGATATAAAACTTTTGACATAAGTGTTTCAATGTCATGAACTCTTATAGAACCACTATATAATAGTCTAGCAGATATACTATCCCAGTCTATATATTCTGCTTTTTTCAAAACCTCTCTCACAATATTTTTCTTATCTAATGGTATACGTTCCATCTTACCTATAGGTATCTTTTCTTTTAACGCTTTCAATATATTGTTTGTGTCTGGTATATGTTTGAGACGGTCCATATAGTTGTCGAAGTCATTGCATATAATCTTTGAGTCTGGGAATATTGTATGGCACAAATGGGATATATAGAAACTTCCACCGAACAAATCTACAAATGTTAGACCATTCGGTAGTTTCTTAAGTTCTCTCAATATAATATCTTTACATCTACTCTTATTTCCAAAGAACGGTAACGGTGGTTTTGTAAAATTCATTTATATATAATAATAAAAATGTTTTTTCCTGAAAAGTGACAGAAAAGGCTTCTCAAAGTATACTTCCTTGGAACGCCTGTAACTTTTCCTGTAGCGACGATAGACCCTTACTTGTCCGGACAAAGTTATACTATTTTGAGTGCTCTACCAAAAATTTTTTATGGGCTAGAGGGCGCAACGCGCCTGGAAGCCCCCAGTACCCAAAAAACTTCATTTTATACTAAACATCTTCAGGGCTAGAGGGCACGAAGTGCCTGGAGGCCCCACTACCTTTTTTTTTTTTTTTAGCGAAAAATGAATTAAATATTTAATACTTCTATCGAATTATCTCTTTGCTTCACTAATGAATGCAGAAATACTCTGTTGAATAGTACTAGAAGCATGTGTAATGCATAAAGAGCAAAATCTAATAAAATTTATCAAATTGAATGAATTATAAAGACATTTTAAGAGTATTGATGAGGATGGAATCCTGATGAGATGGTTGTTTTGTTTATTTGAGTGGAAATCCAATGAATATTAGCTTGAAACAAATTTTTAAAAAAAAGTAATGATGATTCTATTAATAATTTGATGTGGTATTAAAATATATCTTACTGTTGTAGGATCTATTATGATTTTAGAGAGATTTCATCAAAATTGCATTAATTCTTACTCGAAGTTACTACTTTGCATGAGTGAAGATGCTTTTGTATTGTAGATTTTAATTTTTAGTGAAATGCGCTGCTATTCTTATTTGATGATGAATCTTCATAACGTAATGTGTCAAAACAAAAAATAAAGTCAAAGATTTTATAAATTTATGGATGAAGATTATAAAGAAGGATCAGTATCTTTAAAAGAAGATCATTGCTCTAGCGATGACATTCAAAAAAGTCCTGATTTCGATATGATTTCATCCAAAATTGAAGAGATAGCCAAAATATTTCAAGAAATTCTTGAAAAAGCAAGCAACTCAGAAGATATTCCTCTTGGCAACTATATGAATGAGATTATTTCGAGACTATCTTTATTAGAAAACAAAGAATTAATCGAAAACACTGAAATACTATCAAAATTGCCTATAACAGATAATGTGCCATTATTCATTCAATTTTGTGGCTTTTTGTTTAGTCTAGATCGTACAGAATTGTCCGAAAACATAATTTGCCAAATTTTTAAGTTTATTGCACAGATAACATCTTGTTCAGAGATGAATATCAACTACTTATCAGATCATGTCATTATTGGCTTACTTTCTGATATAATTAACTATGATTTGCCCGATTCAATTTTATATTACTTACTAATAATTGCAAAAAATGCGTTATGGGTTGATACTTTGTTTGTTGAATACTCACAAGTATTCTCACTTGACTATTACGAGAAAATATCTGCAGATTTATCATCAATACAAGAAAATTACCAAAGCAAGATTTCTTCAGCTATTATGATGGCCGTTTTCACATACTGTAGAAAAACAGAAAATATCCAAGCGATTTTCAACATAACTTTAATAATTCATAATTTTTTAGATTTTGGTTACTTTGACAGCATAATGGTATACTATTTAACATATACATGGAAATGTTTGCTTGATTCCGATGCATTCGATTACGAACAAGCAAAAAATAGTAATTTGATGATATCCATCAACAAAATGAAAGATCAGTTCAAAATTGATGAAAGTCAAAGTGATATAGAGCTCAATGAAACCAAAGCTCTTAGTTTATCTCAATTTTTAGTCTTTTTAGCAGAAATTTATAAATTTGAAAAAATTGAAGTATTTTCAGACGATGAAATAAGTTATTTTATGGAATATGGTAATTGCAAGCTGTTTAGAAGTCTTTTATACTATTTGCAGACAATTTACGAAGCATACGACGTTGCTTTGATGTTTATGGATGAAATCATGGAAGTATATGATATAAATTATGATCTGAAGATATCTATTGCAAAATTGTTCGCAGAAATCATTGAAAATTCTCCAATTGAAATTCGAAAGAAATTTTTCTCGAATGACATATTTGTAATACTTGTTGAGTCACTTTCCACAATTGAAACTGATTTATATAATGATTTCATTGAAGCAATTGTTCAATTTGGAGAAATTGTAGATCATGTTGAAAATCCTCAGGAATTTCTTGAATGTGTAAACGATCCTGAAATAAGAGATGAAATTTTAGAGTTCGCTGATAATCTAGACGACGACGAACAAAATCGTCGTTTGGATGTCTTCATTGAAAAGTTTTATTCAGATTAATCATATTCTGTTGTTCTTTGAATATATTATTTTGTTTTTTTCCATATTTTATCCTCATAATTTGTTTGAAATATATCATGTATTGTAAAAATGTTATCTATTATTGAATTATCAATTGTTTCTATCATATATGTTAATTCCTGAGCAACTTTTATTTGTTGATTTGGTTATATTTAATTAAAAATTCAAGCTAAATGATTGAATCGATATCAAGTTTTACCGTAATAAACTATGTGGTGGAGTTAAGGTTAATAAAAAACCATAAAGTTACACTGGTGAAGTGAAACGATTATTAAAAACCAGAATAAAAAAAGTCGAAAAATCTATGAATATCGTAACATTTAATTACATAGAGATACAACGGGGCAATGATATCACAGATACAGATACATTTTCATTCATTATTAATGATGAAAGAATAGAATTATCAAAGTTTATCTCAATAATAATTTCAAATTCTGTTCATGATGCATATTTACGCGATCGTTCAGTTAAGTCAGTTAGCAAATATCTGAATCTATTATGCAATAATACAATCGACATGATTTCTGAATTTTTCAAAACAGGTGTTCTCAGGTTCGAAAACGATCATTCGCATAATAGAGATGTATTTGAAATTGGAAAGGCTTTTGAAATTGATTTCTTGACCAGCATTTTTTGTGCATTTGTTAAGTCAACATACAAAGAAATAAATGAAGAAAACTTTTATGATATCTACGATTGCTCAACAATTGAAAATGATACAAATAGGATGAACGAATGCATTTCATTCTTTGCATCGAAGATGTTTGTTCTACAAGAAGGATACAAAATAAAAACAATCAAAAGATATGGATATGACTTTTTTGAAAGTGTTTTGAGGTCAAAATCTCTGAAAATATCAAACGAAGATTCATTAGTCAGTACAATTATGAGTTTAAGCGAAGATGATATTTCGTTCTTTTCTCTTCTTAATCTAGTAAGAGTTGAATTTTGCAACAATATTTCTATTAAATCAATAAAAAACTTTGCAGTCAAACATGGTTTAGAGTCAATTTCAACTGAAGTCTTCGAGAGTGCTTTGCTAAAGCGTTCCAAAATTCATGGTGAACTTCAACTCTCTAATTCAAATTATTTTAGTCTGAAAGCATTTCCAAATAAACTTCAGCTTTCTAATGCAAATTGTTTTAAAGTAGAAACACTTCAAAATAAACTTCAGCTTTCGAATGCAAATGAGTTTTGTTTAGACACATTTCCAAATGACCTCAAAATTTCAAACGTGGAAGAGATTCGTGTAAATGATAACTCATATGATAACATGAGAAAATTAGGAAGTTTGAGAAAAGAACAACAATATTATAATCAAATTTATGAAGTTCTTGAAAAAGCATCAAAGGAAGAAGACCTTTTGACAATCAAATTTGCCGTTGATGAAAAATATTCTAATGTTCGCCGCAATAATGAAAGAAATATGATTCTTGAAGCAGCTTATAAAGATAATTTATGTCTTGTAAAAGATTTGTTCAACCAGGGTGCAGATATAAGAAGTAGAAATATTTATAATAAAACAATTCTTCATTTATTTTGTGAAATAGGTAATTTAGAAGGTGTCAAATTTGCTCTTAACTACATAGATATCAATGACGCCACATTCAGAAATCGTACACCCCTTTATTTTGCTATCGATAATAATCATGCGGATATCTGCGAATTTCTTAGTTCTCAGCCTAATATCAATAAAAATGTTAAAAACAAAGATAATGAAACTCCACTTCAGTTTGCAATACGCCTCCAACGAGAGAATATTATTGAAATTCTTCGTAGAAATGGATTCGCGTGATAAATTATTGTATGTATGATTAAAATTCTTAATTTAATGCTTTTGGTTTAGTTAAAGATCTGAATTAAATTATCATTTTTGAATGTGGCATCATTGATATCTATGACGCATCATGATGTAAGATTCATTCTTTTATTTAGAAATTCATATTGTTCACGCATATGACTCTTCTGGTTGTCAAAGTTCTGCGTTCAAGTTATGGATGCATAACAGATTGCCATTCCTGGAAACTTGTGATACCAATTTAATCCAATATGCTATAACTATAAATATTTGATGAATATATCGACAATTGAAACAAAAATATATAATAATCATTGAAATCTTACAAAAATACAAATCGATATCCCTTACAGGTAATAAATGATATTTTAGATACCTTTTTATGGAGTCATGAAAAGGTTGCAAAAGGCCAGAACTAAGGGTATAATTTTCTGCGATATAGTCTTACAGATTTTGCACCCTTATACTCTGTCCACTTGTTTCACAACTTACTATATATGTTGCTCAATATATCACAATAAAGCAGAGTTTAAAAATCTTTACTAAAAAGTGCCGTTTCAAGCTTATGTCTTTTCAAAGAAAAATAGAATGGCTTTAATTTGTGGACAAAAGTTTGTCTGGGCACAAGAATTAGTTGCAAACGAGCAAGAGACACGCGATGCTGCTATTGCTGATACAGCAGCATGGATTAAACAGCTCCAAGAGCTTCCAGCAAAAGATGCAGAAACAATTTGGTATATTTTATGGAATGCTCTCTGGATGACAGATGGACAACTTACACAGCATGCGTTTTGTGATAAAATTGTTGCCATTTTTGATGTTCTCTCCGTTGAAAATTCAAAAGCATTTTACAGAGCATATATCGAGTGCATGGTTAAGCAATGGGAAAGGCTTGACAAGTGGCGGACAGATAAATACCTCGTTTTATGCCGTAAAATTTTAGATAAGCTCGTTTCATTCTGCAAAGAACATAAAGATTACGATTTCTTGTTTGAAATCATTCATCTTGTATTCGAAAACACAAGAGGAAATGGTTTCAAGCTCCATTTAGTTGATGTTCTTACAGATTATCTCCCAGAGTTAGTTCAGATGGACGCAAAGACGGGATATAAGTTCCTTGCACCATTTGAAGATGAGTTTCTTAAGAGTACGACTAATGCTTCCTTAGTTTTAAGAATTGATTTTAAGATTATTACTCCTCTCATTGATTCTGTTGGAGAAGCCTTCTACGGATCAGAAGAAGAGTTTTGCATTAAGTTCCTTCGCACACTTCTTTCTCGTTTGAACAATTCCATCAAACATAAGGATTCTAACCAAAAGATACACAGCCTCAGAGTTCAGAAGGCTTCAGAGCTTCAAGAACTCCTTGTTGCTGTCAACTTGGATCGCCAAAACAAAGGAAAACCAGTTCTTAAGCTTGGCGTTATTGATGAAGAAGAAAACAAATAATTCAAAAGGTTTTCATTGTATATGCCTATCACAGATTTAATATAAAGTAATAGAATTTTATTTGAAAAAAAAAATTAAAAATTATTTAATTTAAACGTAATTAAAATTAAAAAGTCTCCCAGAACTACATATAGTGACCAATGGCAGTGCACTGTTCAACTTTGTCAGTAGATATTTCTCATTAAAATTAAGAATCCCGAACGTTGTGTCATTTTTGGAGATTCACATAGGTGCTGTTCCCCAAAATGGCATGTAGCGACCAGTAGCATTGCATTGATGCATTTTGTCAGCCAATATATCGCATTCAAGTTATTAACGCCGAACATTCTGTTATTTTTGGATATTTGCAAAGACCGCGTCCCCAAAATGATATATGGCAACCAAGGAAGGGGTTCATTGGATTCTTTTCTAAATTCATGGAAAATAAGATTAAAAAATTAATGGAAAATCAAATAATTGTTTTTTTATAAGACGAATACAAACAGTTTTTTATTAAGTATCAAAGGAAAAAATTGAAATTAAACTTTTTGGTTAATTGTGTCAGATGAGCTTTCTTCAGTCATGTTCCATGATTCAATTATCGATGCAAAACAGCATACTATAGCAACAAAGTATTCGAAGAAGCAAATGATCAATCCTAACCCACCACACCATCCTAATGAAAATGAAGCTACAAGGATGTGCGTAAAAGCGCGTCCCATAAGCTTTCCCATGAAATCGAAAAGTGTAATATGGAAAAACGAAGCAATTTCATGTATTGTAGCAAAAAGGCAAAAAACTGATAAAACTGCAGATTGAAAAACTGTTCCAAGTAAGTAGTTAGGTGATTCTAAGTCGAATTTAAATTCGAAAACTGCATATTTTTTCTTTTGGACAAGTTGAACTAAATTATAAGCAGAAGAAACTGCACAAATTAGAAATGATAATGCACTAATTACATAAACAAAATTGTGACATGCAGAGGCAATACATGCCATAATTTCAAAAATATTTCAAAAAGTGACAAAATCCTAAAAATTTAATCATAATTTGTGTTTTAAAAATATGTTATTTTAATATTATGACGGCTATCAGTCCTATTTCCATAAAAATCATTGTGAAAACTTAAAAATTTTCATATCACAAGTCATTGTTTGTCAAATGTAAAATTTTGAAATTTATTTGTCAAAATGAAACCATGGAAGTATAAAATTTGCGAAAAAATCGGTAAAGGCTCTTTTGGAGAGATATTCCGTGGTGAAGATGAAAATGGGGATAGTGTTGCTATCAAATATGAGCCTCAAGACAATCCAAATCTTCAACTTTTATATGAATGTCGATTATACAGATATTTTTCCGGTGCAGTAGGCTTTTCATCTGTCAAATGGTTTGGGCAACATGAAAATAATAATGTTCTTGTCATGGACCTATTTTCATATTCGTTAGAAGAATTATTTCAAAATTGCAATAAAAAATTTTCACTGAAAACAGTCCTAATGCTAGCTGATCAAATAATTAATAGAATTCAATATGTTCATAAGAAAGGATTTGTTCATCGAGATATCAAACCACAAAATTTCTTAATTGGGCGTGGAAACAAGTCTAACCTGGTGCATCTTATTGATTTTGGACTTGCAATTAATTATATTGATCCTGAAACTCAATCTCACATCAAATATTGTGATGAAGAAAGTGTTGTTGGGACGGCTAGATATAATTCTGTTAATGCTCACATAGGTGTACGTGAAACAAGGCGTGATGATATGGAATCACTTGGATACGTCTTAATATATTTTCTAAAAGGAACACTGCCATGGTCTGGAATGCACGATTATGCAAAAATTACTGAAACGAAAATGAAGACATCTATTGATCAACTTTGTAAAGATCTTCCAGAAGAATTCTCCCTTTACATGAGTTTTGTACGCGGATTAAGATTTGAAGAAGAGCCTGACTATTCATTTTATCTCAAGTTATTTAGAACTCTCTTTACAAATCTCGGATATTTATTTGATTATAAATATGATTGGAATAGCTAATCACATACGAGGTAATGACTGATATTTTTTGTTTGTATTATCTTTCTTTTTTTGTTTGTTTGTAAATATACGATTCAAAAAAAAACTAACAGCCAAATTAGTATTTACAATTGTGTGTCTAATAAACTCCTCATAGATGGTCTCATAAACATCATAAATCAGCTATTGAGTAAGGCAATTTTATCTCAAGATTTTTTTTAGTTTACAAATAAAAGTGACACAACGATACATTAGTGAGGAATGACGTCCTACTTTTCTCAGGCAAATCCTGAAGAATTATTAGTTCCTCCTGTCAACTTTTCGCTTGTTGCCAAAGGGATATACAGAGGATCTTATCCAAATCAGAGAAATTTCTCGTTTCTCCGACATCTTGGATTGAAGACCATTCTATTCTTATGCCCAGAAGACTACTCACAAAGTAATCAAGAATTCTTAGACGCTAACAACATTAAATTGATTCGAGTGCCTATGGAAGGTAATAAAGAACCATTCAAAATTATTCCGACCGAACTTATGAATGAGGCAATGTGTCATTTAGCTGACCGTAGAAGTCATCCAATTTATATTCATTGTAATAAAGGAAAGCATAGAACTGGATCCGTTGTAGGATGCTTAAGAAAGATTCAACAATGGACACTCACATCGATCTTTGAAGAGTATAGACGTTTTACTGGAACCAAAGCTCGTCAAATAGATGAACAATTTATCGAATTATATAATCCTCCTGTTCAGAAGCTTCCTCATGAATACTTACCAGAATGCCTTGCCCATCTTAAGTAAATTTTTAATGGCATTTCAATTATTTATTATTTAATTTTTATTTTAAAGAATATTGTTTACTTTAGGATCATTTTGTTAAGTCACTACCAGTTTAAAATTATAACTTATAAAAATCCAGTTCAAAACAAAAACATTTGAAAAAAAAATAATCATCAAAAAAAAAGTTAATAGTAGAAGTTAAAAATTTGAATCATGACTTGGAATGTTCCATCCTCAATGTTTTCAAGTATAAAAATTGGTATTAAAAAAAAATATATCAATAGCGTTTTATAAAAAGAGTTTTATTGAGTCCACGTAGGTCGTTTGTTACATACAGGTAATTTTATCGGGAGTTGATAAGAAGATTTTCTTTCTTATATTCGAAATTGTAAAGATACTCTGAATCAATAAAAAAAAGAGTGATCAAAGTGATATAAGTACTAAAATTAAAAGCAAAAATACGGACTAAATGACTCAAGAAATATCAAGAAGTAATTGCGGTAAAATTTTCTCTAAATGAGATTCGTCGATAACTTTCTCGTCACCTGCTACATCTACTGCACGTTCTGTCGCTTCTACTACGACACACCTTAGATATTCGGCGATAAGTTCAACAGTTGTCGGCGGAATTCTTAGTTTTTGGTCATCATTTTGATCTGCTAATGCTGATTCAATAATTGCTTTGATTGTTGCTGTTCTAAATTTTGCGTCTTCTGCCATGAAAAAAAGAAAGAAAAGTGACAAAGGGAAGTTCCTGGAATTGTTACTCCCTAAGTGCATCAATGATTTCTTTTCCTCTAACAAATATCTTATGCTTACTCATTCAAACTGATTGGTTGTTTAATTCTGGAGGAAGTCTGAATTCTGTTTGAAATTTGAAACTCTATTAATTTGATATCAAATAACGCTAGGGAATAAAAATGGCTGGCAATATCTTGGAAATTTTCAAAAGAATTCAATCATTATTGAGTTTAATCTTTATTGAGTTGATAATTCGTATATTAGCAATGATGATATAATTATTGAATTATGCAAACAGAATTTCTTCTAGAGTTCCTTTTCTAGATCTATTTTGCCCTTCTTATTCAAACTTATCACAGAATAATTTTGATTTCAGATCAATTTTGTTTAAAATATGAATATATTCGGATGTAAATCATCAAATAATCTTGCTATTCAACACCTATAATAATTCAAAAAAGAAATTTCGATCGAAAATAGAGTCATTCATGGTGTAAAACTATAATAAGAATCCTAGACGATTAAAATATTGTGCAACTTGTACGGAAGTGTGATATACCTATATTCAAATCACTGCTCGGTGAAAATCTGATACTCTTATTCTCAATCAGACTCAAAAGAAATGGGAATTGATCTACTTTTAGATAATATATAAGTGGTTAATCAGATGAAAACACAAAAACATGTGCGTAATTTTTGGCGGATAAGGGGATTCGGAAATTAAAAAGTGACATGATTTTTCGCTAAAAATTTTTGAAAGAAATGCCAAATCGTGATGCGAAATCTCGTTCTTGAGACATATAAAATAGCACCGAACAATCGGCTTATTGAATTGGATTTTTTGAACTTTTGAATGGACCCATGTTTTTGTCTCATTCTTAAAATTTTGAGTTCGGTGTATTTTATGTTAATAATGAATCAGAAACTTATGAAATTTAAGAAAAATGTCAAAAAGTAAATGTCAGATTTCATAAATTCCGAATCGACAATTACATCAAATGAATTCTCATTATTAAATTTTTCAAAATTGAATGATTCCTTTTTGAGAAGAATCGGTTACGAGTGAATGGGTCCATCACTATGCGGACATCTGAGAACGGACGACTCGCGACCGTGTTTCGTATATTAACTACGGAAGCATGAGATCGAATATTTTCTATTTTATCAGATTTTATCAAAAGATAAATAAATTTTTATTTTTAATGTTTGATTGTTTGGCTGACTGTTTCCTGAATACAATACTAGACCTCTAGCCAATGAATTTTTTTGCATTAAAGTAGGTTGAACAAGTTACAATCAAACAACCAAATTAAGCAGATTTAGAGTAAAATTTTACTTCTGTAAGTTAAAGATACGGGATAAAATTTAATCTTTTGTAAATAAAAGTATTTATAAGTTTAAAAATCAGTGCATTTTTCTATTTTATCCGAAATAAAATTTTAGATGAGGTAGCAGCAGTTACCGCCTTCTTCTGGTTTGTCTTGTTTATTATCATCTGTTGGCTTTGGCTTGGATTCTGCAATAATATCCTTAACTAATGCTGTGAATGTTTCATGAATATTGTAATTTGTAAGAGCTGATGTTTCAAAGAATCTGCATTTAAGCTTAGCAGCGAGTTCTTCACCCTCAGCCTTGCTAACTAATCGACGTTCTTCAAGGTCACACTTGTTACCGCAGATAACGCATGGAACTGTAGATGTGCACTTTGTGCGAATAAGTTCACGATGGAAGGCTTCCATTTCTTCGAAGGAAGCACGATCATCGATAGCGTAGACAAGGATGAAGCCCTTGCCCTGGCGCATGTAAGATGTACGCATAGCAGCGAAATCATCCTGTCCTGCGGTATCTGTGATATCTAATTGAACAGATTCACCATCAATGTTTAACGGACGTTTGTAAGAGTCTTCAATTGTTGGATCATAATCTGTAATGAATTGGCCCTGAACGAATTGGATTGTAAGAGCTGATTTGCCGACAGCACCAGCTCCGAAGACAACGATTTTGTACTCAGCCATGAGAAATGGTTATAGATGTAAACCATTCAAATTATTTCCCGTCCTCAAAAAGCAGAATGTAAACTATCCAAAAAGCCATCTGAATCAAAACGGTTATTTGCCCTGAAAAATCATCGATTTTAAATCCTTCTAAAATATGTGGGAATAAAAAAGCCTAGAAACCAAAAAATCTAATTAAGGGTTTCGTTTTGCTAAAATTGTCACTTTTATAGCATATTTGTTTTTGGATGTTTTGCGAAACCAAAAAAAAAAAAAACTATGATATACAATGTGTGTGTAAAGAAAATACTTTATTTACTAGTTAAAAAATCATTTGGTATTGATCAAGTTATTTTTTCTGGATAAGATATTATATGGATAATTGGATAGAAAATACAATTATATAATCTTGTACCTGGTTTAATTAAGCTAATTGTCATCAGAAACTTGTAATTTTTATGAATTTCAGATTTTCTTTTCATTACTGCTTTTCTTAATAGGTCAAGTTCTTATTTACGTTATAAAGTATGATATTTACAAATATCAAGCTATCATGTTTTTTGAGAAATTATGAGAAACAAACAAAAATGAAAAAGATAGGAATAGCAATGAATAGTGATGTTGGTATAGAAAATGTAAGAGATATGAATGCAAAGCAATCAGTATTTAGGATATTGACCATAGATTTCGAAAAAAAAATGCTGCATATTGAGCGAAAACTATGATTATATTATAAGGCTGTCATTTAAAGCATAATGAAACTATTCCCTTTTCATTTTAATCGAATAAGATAGTAAAGATTTTTGAATTAGCTAGAAACTGATGAGATGTTTTCACAAATCAGATTTTTAATCTCTATAATGCATAATTCACTCAATATCTCAATTTTGATATTGCGAGATATTTTTGCTATCGGTTTCGCAATTTTGACACAATAGCAAGAGGGTTCTATAAGCATTATTATCAACGTCGAATCTGAATATCATATCAGAAAATGTCGCAAATCTAACATTTACCCGACCAAATAGCAAAAATAATTGAATACTTTTCGCAAAAACTTTAAAAATCGATAAAAATATGAAATATAGATATTAAAGAGACTTTTTATATAATATTAAAAAAAAAAAAGGTAGTGGGGCCTCCAGGCACTTCGTGCCCTCTAGCCCTGAAGATGTTTAGTATAATGAAGTTTTTTTTTTTCTTTGGGATGGCCTTCCAGGCACTTCGTGCCCTCTAGCCCATAAAAAGTTTAGTATATATTTGTCCGGACAAGTAAGGGTCTATCGTCGCTACAGGAAAAGTTACAGGCGTTCCAAGGAAGTATACTTTGAGAAGCCTTCTTATGGGTCGAAAACATTATATAATGTGTCGCTTTTCACAAATTATATATGTTTTCATGCTTTGTCACTTTTCTGTCACTTTTCAGGAAAAAAACATTTTTATTATTATATATAAATGAATTTTACAAAACCTCCGTTACCGTTCTTTGGAAATAAGAGTAGATGTAAAGATATTATATTGAGAGAACTTAAGAAACTACCGAATGGTCTAACATTTGTAGATTTGTTCGGTGGAAGTTTCTATATATCCCATTTGTGCCATACAATATTCCCAGACTCAAAGATTATATGCAATGACTTCGACAACTATATGGACCGTCTCAAACATATTCCAGACACAAACAATATATTGAAAGAGTTAAAAGAAAAGATACCTATAGGTAAGATGGAACGTATACCATTAGATAAGAAAAATATTGTGAGAGAGGTTTTGAAAAAAGCAGAATATATAGACTGGGATAGTATATCTGCTAGACTATTATATAGTGGTGCTATAAGAGTTCATGACATTGAAACACTTATGTCAAAAGTTTTATATCTTAACTATACAAATGTTTTCAAAGAGGACATAGAAAAATATATTGAGGGTATAGAGTTTGTGAGATGTCATTGGACAGAGTTGTATGAAAAATATAAAGACAAGGAAAATGTTTTCTTTATAGTGGACCCGCCGTTCTATAACACATGGGATTTTCAATACCAAGTAGACTGGACTTTGAGAGACTCTTTAGAAACTTTAGACGTTATACATAACCATCCATGCTTTTACTTTACATCCGATAAAAGTGGTTTGGAAACCGTTATGAGATGGTTAGAGGACATACATGACTATGAGTTTAGATATGACAAGATAGAATATGAGAGAGGTCCTATAAACTGGAGAAAGTGTCATAACAAAGAAATTTTATTAGTAAGTAAATGTGGTTTGAAATAGGACTACTTGTTTTAGGTTTTTTCCATTGTGTCATTTATTTCTTTGACGTGGCAGAAAAGTACAGAGAATATGAAGATGAACCAATGCCTGCAAATGTTCAGTATATGTACTCGTAAGAGATATTTTTATCTAATATTAAATGGACGCACAGAACTTAGCGAATGCACAGCAACCTGGACAACCAAACCCAGAGAATATTCCAAATGAAGTTAGAATACAAACTGCAATGGCAAACTATGGTCAAGTGCCAACAGATGTACAAATGCAAACTGCCATGTCAAATGACGCTGCGTTAGGTTTGCCACCATGGTATGCAAATATGAGATGGAAAGAGTTTTATACAAACCCTGAAGTGGGATATAAACAACTTTATGCAGATGACGCGAACACAGGAGTTGACCCAGAATATGTTTTCTACCAGAGGAGAAACAGAATGTATGAGCTCCAGTTAAAGAATGCTATGGAACTCAACAGGAAACGTAAGAGACTAGGCGGACATTAGATTTTTACATATAGTAAAATGGGTTTCTTCAGTAGTATTGGAAACTTCTTCAGAAGAGTTGGAAGAGGTATATGGAATGGAATAAAAACCGTAGGAAGAGGAATTTGGAACGGAGTCAAAAATATTGGTAAAAGAGTAGGTCAGTTCGTTGGTATTATACCTAAAGACCCTGAACCAGAAGAACAAGCTCCTGTTATACAACAGCCTGAACCTGCACCACAGTCTAGTTGGCAACCAAATCCAACACCTCAACCGTATTAAAAAATTATATTTTTACCGTTCGATAGTAGTTGTATATGAAACTAAGTTCTAAGTAAAACGCATGGTATAATGGAATTATTCTTTTTCTTCCATCTGTAGTAAACCATACTTGAAAGTCTGAAATACTTCCACTTGATGGTTCGTATAACTTTGTAGGTTTTTCGTAAAAGTCATTTGCCAAGCATAAGAAAGAGTTTTGGGCGCCAGAAAATGAAGCATGAACAATAATAGCATCTTGGTCGAAAACATTTTCATATGTTCCATTAGGGTTTTCGACTTCATAAAAGTCTGGGTGTACTGGATATGCTGCAGGCTGATTTAACATCCTCATAAATCTATACCATGCCAAGTTGTTATATTTTGTAGAAATATAAACGTTTTCTCCAAGGTCTTCTATTCTATTGATTTTAACAGTTGCATTTTTCCTGTCATAAATAATATCGAGATGGTATTCTCCCTCGTCAATGTTATACTGGTTTGCATATTCGATATAGATATCGTTTATTTTTTCTTGAAAATCTTGAAGAGTTGTTTCTAAGTTTACAAGCAAACTAACTTGTAAAAGTTTTCCCTGTTCAAATTTCTCATACATACGTTTTTCTTTGTTATAGTATCGAACTTCAAAACCGACCGTAAATGGGAAACCATGTATGGCTTCTGAAATGAACTTCATTCTACGAAAGCCAATAGCTTTTGTGACAGATGGGTCTCTTAGCCATCTTAATGGGTAGTCAAAACGATAGCCTTCATGCTTTACGGTCTCTGTCTCAAGCTTTTGACCGACATTAGTAAAAAGTTCATCTAATGGTTTAGTTGTAGCAACCCTTGAATTTTCTTTTTCTATTGAAAGCATATTTTATCTAGAATAAAAATGTCGAAAGATATTGCTTCCATGAGAGAAATACAACACAACCGACAACTCATTATGCAAGCTCTAAATAAGAACACAACAAACTTTTCAAACTATTCTAAGATATCTGAGTCATTGAAAGAAGGAAACTTAAAACTGACATTAAACCCAATGACAGATGAGTTTCTGTTTCAAGACAATAAGAACCATACTGTCTGTATAAATCCAACAAAAGGAACTTTAAACGAGAAACCTATAAATGAACTTCTTTTTGAAAACAGATTTGACAACAAAGCTGACAAAGAATATGTAGACGATGCAATAGCAAAAGAAGAAGAAAGAGCTAACAATGCTTATGCAACAAAAGAACATACTCATCCTGAACTAGCAGACAAAACATATGTTGACAATAAAATGTCAAGTGAAGTGACGAGAGCTGAAAACGAATATTCTAAAAAGACTCATACACATTCTATATCTGAAATAACAGACTTACAACTAACTTTAAACACTAAAGCAAATAAGACTCATACACATTCTATATCTGATATTACAAACTTACAAGAAACCTTAAACAGGAAAAGTGCCGTTGGACATACACATACCATTGCAAATATTACAAACTTACAAGAAACCTTAAACAGTAAAAGTAACGTTGGACATACACATTCTATATCTGAAATAACAGACTTAAACGTTAGCCTTGAAAAGAAAGCAGATAAAACATATGTCAATGAAATATACCAAAGTTTGATAGGAACAACAAAAAATATTGAAACTATTGTTGGTGACTTTTCTGTCAATGAAGAAAATAAATATTTTAGATGGCAGTTTGTACAGTCCTTAAGAAATGGTATACGGTATAAACTCATTCCGAAAAATAACAATGAAATGTATGTAAGCTATATAAAGAATGATGGTACACAAGTTAAAGTTCCATTAGACAACAACTGCTACTTAAACTTATATGGAGACGAACAAAAGAAATATTTAAGAGTTTATGAAATGACAGATATGACATTGCCTGACCCAGCTCCAGCACCATATTATTATGACTATGGAGATGACGTCAGAACACCACATGTAGATGAACAAAAGCTAACATTATATTTAGATTATTATAGATATAAAAGA